TCATGTTGAGATAGTCCTTCCTTTTCGGTAACATAAGTGTGGAAGGAGAAAAATCAATCACTATGTATGTGTAGGATATGGAAGCATCCTCATCGTGAACACCTCCTCATGACCGACACTAATCAATTTCCGTTAATAAGTCGATTGGTGGTCTACATTATTTTTTCTAATGTCTATCAATTTTACTTCTGTTAAAAACTGAGGTTATTGCAATAATTGAAACCTACATTCAATAGTGCCAATTAGTTTGATATATACGCCCTAGATAAAATAAAATTCCAAAAGAACTCATACCTGTTTCGTTTTTTTCAGAATTTACTAGACGAAGAACGACCCATGAATGACCTGAAACCCGAAGGGCAGTCAGTGTTATGATAGCAAATGCTCAACACTGATCCCTGTCCTATCCCTATTCTCATATACTGTTGATTTGAAACAAAGATGCACAGTGCCCGGTGCGTTCGCAAGACCCTTTACCCTGAGCAGGTTGAGGAAAAGCCTTGTATAGCATGTGAAAGCCAAGAACTTGCCAAATCTTGCCGTGATGAAAAACCCTTTCTCACAGATTGGGTCTAAAAATGCAAAAAGCTTCATTTACGATTGCCATCGGTTCGGTAGACAATAAACACTGATGTCATAATATTTACATTCTGTATGCTTAGACCCATTGACAAAAATTACATTCATAAATGCATAACACAGGTGTTCATAGAATCTCAGCACGTGGGAACTGATAGTAACCTGATCACACTGCGTAGTAATACACTACAAAAACTACTCACTCGGAACGACCGACCTAGATGCTTAATTCTTACATCTTAAAATATTATTGAACTGTGCTTTGTGAAATATCCACGTATTCACGTGTCCTGTGCTACAAATAAACATTGAATATGGAACTACATTTTGTTGTGTTATTGTTGTTGACGGTTGCTAAGATCTCTCACGATAGTGTCACATTTCCCCGCGAAAAAACACTGTTCTCGCCACTGCGTTGCACCCGTGTATAAGCAGGAACAAACCCTGTTTATTTGTTTTATTCGTTGTTATATCGATCCACTGAAAGGATTCGTCAATGTAAATATAAGGAATGATATTTATTTTTTCAACATTTATGAGGTCATAACAATGGGTTTTTGGACATATTTTACATGAATCGCTAACACGATTCATTCAATATGTCCATAAACCCATTGTTGTTATGACCTCATAAATGTTGAAAAAATAAAAATCATTCCTTAAATATCAACAAGATCTTCATTTCATTCATTCCCAAAGCATCCATCTATCGACACCGCTCATCTACACATGAAATCAACACTTGGCAGACTTACAAAGTCACCTGATTGGTAAGTTTAGCAGAACATTCTGATCGTGACCTTTCCAGGGTCCTATGAGATCTAGAGGTTTTATAGAATTCTATGTTGTTTGCTTGTTAGATCCTATATATACTAAAAAAATAAGTGCTCGCTCTATCGACAAAGAAAACCCAGAGCCGCGGCTCGTTTCTTAAAACATATGAAATACGGAGAAGATTTTGGAAGAGTGTTGCACGTGCAAAATTTGTTGGAAAATGAGATATACACGATCATTTTAACAATGTTATAAGGATTCAACACTCTCTTCGTGCCTTATTTATCTTTTGCTTGTTTAGATATGTATTCAACATATTTGCTTTAAGCACATCAAGAATCAAGCTCATATTTTATATGTTTGCATAATATTATTCGAAACCATATAACAAATAATATACTATCGATTAAATTACTTATGATTGTAATTAAATAGATAGTATGCTGTTTTCACACTTAACCCTACAATGTATGACACTTTTTTCCTAAACTGTAAAGGTGGAAATTATTCGCAGCGTGGAAATGTTACGTCTTTTCGCATTGTTTAATTTAGCCGAGAAAAAAAATCCACACGTACAAATATATTTAGATGTACATAACAATACCGTCTATATTACTTCTTTGACCCATACCAATATATATATATATATATATAGAATATACGGATTTAAGATCATTGCCAATGCAAAAATGTGCATATCGCCGTGATTTTAAAGTGTCACAGCGCGAACATTTCTACCCGCGAGAATTGTCATTTCTACAGTGTATGTAATAAAAGAAAATGAAAAGAGGAAAATATTATCTTACCTCTTTTTGTCAAAATGACTTTCTGCAAAGACAAGCAAAACTTTGAATAGGAGCTCCCTTAAGCTTCGTATGTCTACTTACTGTTTTACTTACAATCAATTCCTACGAATATTGTTACTTTTGGTTGAGATAAGGTCATTTCTATAATAATGATAACAACAAAATCAAACAAAATTGAAAATCATTTCATCTTACATTCTCCCGCTGACAAACTGGAGATGACGTCACATCTTACTACAACCATTGAAGGCGACAAAGTGGAATCCGCATCTTAATGCTTATCAAAAACAACGAAACTGTTGACCTCGAAAATTGCAGACTGCGATACCACAAACAATACCACACATCACACTCTCTTATACTGACAGCGACACAAACACCCCGCATCTTACTCCTTTCTACAGACTGCAAAAAAGCAACGGATACCGCATATCGTGTTTAATAACACAATCGATCCTGCATTACAATTTGTGATCATTGACACCGTAACAGGTGACACTGTACCAGAGGACCTGGTCTCTCGCTCCTTACCGCTGACTACGATACTGCAGATCTCGGAGTAATTGTTCGCAATAAGCTACAGCAAGAAAAGTAGAGGACTTTGCATTTTACTCTCTAACACAGCTGCAGCCGACTTGCTGTCGCTTACAACGACATTGACGATCGGGCATGCTTATTTCACAGCAGAACATGTAGTAAAATTGCACTTGATTCTCTACCACAGATAGCAACAAAGTCTACAGAAGACTTCTTATGTACACCTTACAACTGCATCGGCATATTCGACGCTATGCCTAAATTCTGACAGTACTGACACTGACGGTTGCAATCCCGTATCAGATTCCAATTTACTGACAGTAATTTGAATGCATCGTACAATTGCTCCCATTCAATGAAAGCGAAACAGGCAATTGTTTATCGTACTTTAAACCACAGGCAAAGTCAACAGACAGCAAAACATACGAGTTCACATCTTATTCTTTATAACATACGTTGCTGATGCAAAAGATTTCAATTTACAGCGACATGTTAAAGGTGATACCTAACTACTAACAGTTGATTGGATATCAACGGGTAATCACGGAGACCGTGAAGGATGCCGAGTGTTGACGCAGTCAGTATAATACGACCGGGTGGAATGCTGTGCTTGGTGCCATTGGCAGGTATTTCAGTGAGGCAACACAAATCATGTCAGTATCAGATCCATGCTATCGAAAAGAGGCAATTACACCAATTTACCGCCTCCACCTCACACGCTTACATTACATACTTGAAATGGGAACCTTCTTAAAAGACATGAACTGTTAATCAGATGCTTTTAAAGATTTTTTGATATCCCCTACTAATGCATATCGTTTTGTGAAGTATTACAAATTGTTTATTCCATAGTAACTTATCCTGTTTATCAAGTGGTTGGATATACACGACGACTTTAGGGTCTGTATCTCGTGGATTTCATGAAGGATAGGTTAACGAATATACGTGATGTATTTAATTTGTTGAAATTGAAAAATTCCTGAGCATCCATTTCTTCACCTACAGAATGGCTATTAACTCTTGGCGTTTAGAACACATTGTCACAATTAGATAGGAATTGACTAAATTTAAGGGTCCAAAATCGGGGGTTTCCCCCTACATAGGGAGAGTTGGTAAGTAGTTCACAACTTGATGTGCTAGTGCTGATTGCGGGGCTGTTTGTAGCAGATTTAATTTCACATTAATTTCCTCAGGTTAATTTGAAACTGACTGTAACTTGTTTGCATTTGTTCAACCTTTATATACCATTTTCTTTTTTATCACACCATACATAATGAACAATCACGGATGCATTTTTGTTTCATCCGCCTACATGAAATCTGATCTCACTCTGTAAAAATGGTGGAATTATGCATTAGAATAATAGATTTTAACAGATTGAAGTGTTATATACAGGGCTACAATTGCCCCGCTGAAGTCCTATAGCTAACCGGGATGTACATGTATATAATAGTTCGATGGAATGTCCTTTGCACATGAGTCGGTAGAATTTCAATAACATCTTGTCCTAGCATATTGAGCTTTCTGGTGAAATGATGCTTAAAAAGACTTTCTATATATGAATATCAAACGATAAATTCTAGATTAATTTTTCCCATTGAATTGAAAAGAGAATAGTAGCGTATACTTTCATCCAGGTTCATGTCAGCGTATAAAAATGAGTTTTCCTTTAGAATGAATGATGAAAGCATGCAATGTAAACTTTCGCCATTGAAGAAACTGTTTGTTGAAAATATTGTTTGTTCATGCTGGAAAGTTACATTTTGTCACAGGATATTTGTGTGCACACAGTGTATACAGTGTAATCAAATGGTATGACAGATAGATATGCAAAATGAACTGTTTGCCATGTTGTTAGAGGTGAATACACTTTTAACACACGTGTAATTAATGAACCGTGTGTACACTGCTAAGTGTCTCACATGTATAATGTAAATTATCACTAAGAGTGGACAACTGGATATAAGGGAAGAAGGGTTACAAAATACATGCAAACCACAATAGGCTCGCTAAATTGAAAAAATCCTAGACTAATTTCATTATTCTCATATGAAATGGAAACTCGTGTAAGATCCTATATATACAGTATCTAGTTTAGAATTTCACATTTGTTTATTCAGGATGTACCAGATTTAAAAACTTCACGTTAAACGCATCGTCAGAATACACGGGTTTGGGACATAATTTACTCCAGTGACCTTTCATGGTCCAATGCCTCTCCATTCATACCGAGAAAACAAACCAATTTAAAACTACTCGTATAACAGTGATACCCCTTATAATGTTTATCACTTACATCAACATGCTCGGTATATAAAGAGAGTATATAAAATGAAGTCGTATATCATTATGTTAGAAACCGACGAAGCATAACTTAACCGGCGTTACATGTACCCTAGATCGGCCGAAGGAGAACTTAAAGGCTTTCTGCCTAGGAGCATGACACATATGTGATTTTATATGGACACTACGAGACGTTGCTGTTGACCAATCAGCTACCAGGGAGATCTAGACTGCTCCATTTGGTCTAAAGTAGGTATGATTGATTCTTCTATATTCTTTTTAACTTTTCAATTAATAGTTATATGACATGAAACACATAGAAAACTATGTTTATATAAATATTATCCACATGTGACAGATATGACAGGTTAAGAGTTGCGTCCTGTTCATCATTGCTCATTCATCATTGTATATAACGTGATTTAAAAGCAACATATGATGGATTAGTATAGCCTATTCGGGATGCATTGTAGAACTAGGCTAAAAATCTTATCATTTATAAAGTTTGATAACATGTCTTGGATTTGTTTACTCGTAATTGCTTACCTCCTATCCCCCATGTTAATTAATTTTATCTCACCTCTGTTTTGAGAATAGATAGATTTTGTAGCTCCTGGGTTAAATTTTATGAAGATAGAAAATATTCTTACACAAAATGTAAGATTTTGATGTTAAGCATTTGGCGTTTGCGAATGCTTAACTTTAAAACTCTTATCCCATTAAAGTCATATCGCTCTGTCGACATCAAGCAAACGTAATTGATATTTTTCTCCAACATTTTCTAACACAAAAATAAGTGAAATAGTGCACCAAATGTAAAAGAGACATTATGAATGTGCAGAAGAAGTGTGATGAAATTACTGACGCTACTCTGGTAACACAGTATTAAGTTATAACGCGGAGACGACTTTTATAGGAACACAAACGTGTAAACGTAGCCGAAATGGACATCGGGTTTACGGTTAACTCGTACACATTTTACACCTTTGTGTGCATACGCTTCACTGGTCATTTGTCTGTTGTAATTGCCCGTGTACATATCGTACTAGTCATCGAAACGTCACATAGAAAATTGTATTGGTTGTGTAAAAAGACTTTTTTAGGAATATGAAAGTTAGGGTAATATATTCATAGGTAGGGAACCACAGGTTTATATTTTCCCTAGTAAAATCGGAAAGGCGCCAGTGAAGTGTGAAAGAAATCCAAGTATGCAAAAATATAAGTTTAATAGTGATATATTTCTTTATTTGATATTTTTAACATTGATAAACGGATTCCATTCAAGGTCACTTATTTTAAAGGAATATGCGTTAATTATAAATTTTATATTGCAATGAATCTCGAGAAATTAAGTGATTTTTATTTAAGTTGAGGTTTCAGGTTTAACGTTATAATAAAACAATTTAATAAAGGGATAGACACTGCAATGATGAAGTGGAGATTGGACAGAATAGAGTTAAAGTCTTTTAATTGAGTAGCATCAAATATATTTACTTAACTCAGTAAATGCAAACTTGAAGATAACATTCATGTACTCAAAAAAGTAAACAATAACATCATGTTGTCAACAACAAAAAAATATTACAATATTATGAAAATAGAACAATGCATAACATAACAAAATACTGCACACAAAAACAGCTTCTTTAAATTGCTTAAAACATTTTCAGATGCAACTTACAAACACATTTTGTGATAGTACTTGTAAGTTGGGATTGGCGATGACAAATCTTTTTTTACGGCAGCTCTCCGATAAGCACCAGCGAGCACATGGAACTGAGAATAAAAATGTGGCCGTGTTGTAAGCTAAATTTATAAAGCTATACATTTACAAACATTAGCCCAGGTAGCGAAACAGGTCACTATATCAACCTCAATTTACAAGTAAATAGCAAACACTTTGCCTTTTTCCTACATCAATAAGGAACGAGACGCAAAGGCTGAAATGATTTGAATACACTCAAGAAAATACTTAATTCGATATTGATTTAAGACTTTACATCCAATTAGCATACAATACATTCATAAATTACAATACTACAACACGTTAAACCATACGAGATGGAACAAACAGGGTTCAACACCAACAATAGACCCTAGGCCAAGACAAGTTGATCCCAGCATGGACTCGAGAAACACCTACATTACTGGTCCTTTGAACTTGTTGGGGGGGGGGGGGGGGGGGAGTTAAACAAAATTCGCTTAATTTACATAGACTATATAATAAGAATATTCCATCTGGAAAACTGCTTAAAATACAGATACATTGCATGATATTTGTCAATATTTTCCGTAAATATCTCCATGTCTTTATAGTCATTGTATGTCCCCTACAGTCAGCTAATGTTGTATGTTTCGTGCGTAAGATGTTTCTGTAATGAAGTATTGTACTTATAACATCGCCAAAGGACCAGCAAATAATCTGTTTAAAGTATCTAACCTAGATTGTGCATTATTTATATAAGGTGCGTAGAATATTTGCTTCAAAAATTAATTCGTCAAGAAAGCATATTCCTTTGTATCAATTACACACACATACCGTCTACATTTGAACAGACATGTCTTTTTCCATTAGTTTTTTTTTTAACGACTACTTAATGCTTTGCAGATATTACGCAACAAGACAAAAACAAACATCCCCAATTTAAGTAGTAAAATTACAAATAATACAGTAGTTTCTATCTCTCATAATATTTTCTATTCACCCGTTTCAATTGCACAAAAAATCTCAGACAAGCGTACCTTTATTTCACACGGTATATTGTTCTTATGGATAAACTGAGGTTAAAGGATAATAAACGGAGAAATGTGCAACGTCGTACAGATAACATCGGAAACCCAAGACGACAAGTTAGGGTCAATGCCGTTAACAAACAAAACGCTGTGTATGAATGTAGTATTTGAAACCAAATCGGGAACAAATGAAAACAATGCAAAAAAATAAATTTACAAACGAAAAGGGAAGCGCCGTCAACGCATTCTTAGTCAGTCGTGCGCGAGAAATGAAAATGTTCGTGAGTATTGTCAGCGTGGTGTTTGAAGCAATCGCCCGCACACTGGCGCAATAATTGTATTTCCGAATATCCAAGGCCAAAAACAATAACCCAGATAGCATCTCCATGACGGAATGAACTAGCCTACTAAGGTAGGGTCAGACCAATACAGTACGTTTCGGTGACCGCTTCAAATTTTAGGGTTTTGTTGTTGTTGTCGTCTGCACCTCTCGTCTACAATAAAAGTCTCATGGAGGCAGTACTAGAGTCGTTAGCTCGACGAATACTTGAATTAGATGAACTTATCGACAAAGAAAATGACTAAAGGTTGGAAGATGCAAGGTTTGCTAACATCAAAAGGGGGGACACCGGTAGTTTTGTCGACAGCACGAAAAACGGCAACACAAAGAGAAAAACTATTTGTTTTAATGGGTTATTTTCAGCAGTAAAATATTTCTGATAAAAATGTTATATCATGCCTATTTTCATATCAGACCTCATATTGGCCCTCAACCTATATCAGGCCCGCGGGCATTCGGCCCTTTGGCCTGATATAGGTAGCTCGGGCCAATCTGGGGTCTGATATGAAAACAGGCATGCCATAACCCCAAAATATAATAATGTAACAGTTTAACAAGACTGCGTAATACCCCGATCACGTTCACCGCCATTGAATGGACTAGAATTATGTAATACTTTCAGATAAATCTACAGATTTACGAAATGAAAGTTTAGTTATCTTTTAGTCATACCGCATTTCAAATCAATTGTTATCCACTAAAATGCATTACACAGCTCTAAATTTGAAGTACAAGCAGCTACACTATATATAAGCACCACAAAAGTTCACATATGCTTTAAAATGGGTATTCGACGTTTCTAAATTAGGTTTAGTCTACGACTTTTTTTGATGGGAAGCTATCGTTTCTTGCAATCTGCCTAGTCTTCCTGTGCGTATACGTGAAAATCGGGAATACCAACACCTACACACGTACATAGGTAGGGTGTTGACACATGCCATAAACGCTGTTTACTACAATAGAGGAAAATAGCCATAGCTACTCAAGGACCCTTGTCCCACTACATTATAGTTGTTTGTATATACAGAAGCCTCCTCTTAATTTCATTTGTGCATTACTGTTGTACAGGTGCACCGACGAGACACTTTCAGCGGTAGTATATCAATGTTAAGTCCAGGGTTCGAATCCTGGTGTAGCCCTGCTACACTCATTTATTGATTTACACTCAGAACAATATTGGTCATTATATTTAGCCAAATTATTTATCGTATATATCATTATTTCATAAACGTCCTGTAAGTATTGTTTCTTTTCAGGAATGATTTATTAAATATATTGTCGTGTCAAAAACTAATTTCCAATGAATGCTTACAATTATTGGAAGTGGCACATGGTTCCTTAAAACATTTAAAAGTCTGACAGTTGTCCATTTTCATGTACGCGAGATGTACTCTCCGCTATTTCATTATATCGTAATGACATATGGTCAACGATAATGTTATAGTTCAATTAGGCAGAAAACCAGAACAGAATACGTCATATTATATGCAAAACATTATAACACTACTATATACAGGGAAACTGTCGCCCAGCCGAAATTTCGCCCATCACCGGTACAACCTATTGTTCGCCCAGCCAAACTGTCGCCCTTCACCGGTACAATCTATTGTTCGCCAAGCCAAACTTTCCCACATGGCCGGTAAAATCAATTGTTCCTTTAGTGTAAATTGTGCTTTTCACATCTAATTGCTCTTTATGAGTATGCTGTTTAAAAATATGCGCTGTCATGCTAAATTTGCACTCATTATCAAAGGACGAAAAGGGCTAAAGGTAAACTGCGGAGCAAATTGTCTGGCGTACAGTATGTCTTACGGAACTATCGTCAATGACGTACAGAGTTGTGGAGTTGTCTGTAGAAAGGATTTTACGTTTTCCTGACCATAGATGACCCATCAATCTGCCGATAATACCAGTGCAGTGTTGACCTTTACCTTGATGTGGTGGCCAGTAACAAGAGAGATATCAAATATCCAATGTGAGTAGGAGTAGACAGCCAGCGCCGACAACGTCACACGCATTGGCCTGTAGTTATGTGATAGTTTCTTTTAAAGTTCCCTTTCTCATTAAAAACTGACATAGATTGTGTTTACCATGGAAGGTTTTTTAACGCTTAGTAGGTCTTGATCAAATTCTAAAGAAAGAATAACTTTATGAGTTCTTTAAGTATAACGGGGGACGAT